ATCTCCCAATATCTATATAAACCCTTCTACTTTCTCTTTATTTTGTATTTTTACAATAATTAATCAATCTTCTATTCCTTATCTCACATACATACTTCACACAGTCTACACACTTCCTATAAGCAAGGAAGTGTGTATAGTGGTGGCTAACTCCATATTCTAACAATGTCTTGGTCTTTTTGAGCGCAGAGATCCGGTCTCTATTTAATTCTCCGTTCTAATTTTGTACTGTTATGATCTCTGGTGGCGGTGTCAACTCAGGGAAATTTTAAGACTGCGTAGAGAGAAAGTTTTTTTCCAGAGAAGAAAAATCTAGGACTCTGAACACCTAGTCTTTGTTGTCTAGACTATTATAAACCCGGTATCTTTGGCTTCCACTATCTATAACAGCACTTAAATTGACTTTTGATCTTTTTTTTGTTCTTGTTCCTCTCTTTTTTCTCTCTTTTCCTTTCTACTTCCTTTTCTTTCCTCTCTTCTCCTTCCTTTATCTTTTTTTTTTAGATTCTATTTATATTTTTATTCATTTTTATTTCTATTGCTATTTTAAAATTAATTACTGTATTATACATTAAACTGCGTCTAGGTCACTCTGGTTGTCCCGTGTGTGTCACCCTGCGCATGCCTTACGTGCTGGCTAACTGATGGTAAGGTTATAACTCATCACCATGGTCATCATGTGTGACACTGCCAAACGTGTTCCTATGACATGTCTCAAAGTTATCACCAAAACCTTGACTCTCCAGAATCAAGTAACCTGTTGACATAAGCACTGGCCATCCATTAGGCCTGTCATTTAGATCCACGACACCAAGGTCATAGCCGTAGCAACGACTTATATACTGTAAATCGTTATTGACCATAGCCCACATGTCGTTCCAGTCATTATTCATGCCTAATGAATGACTATCAGACAAGTGACAGTAGTTATACTCCAATCCCATATTTGACTGGAATTTAGTTTCGTAATACTCCATTTGTTTCTTCTTGTCGTTATCTGTCTGACTGTTAAAATAATCAAATTTATATGGTTGATACTCGACCACCACCGTCCCATTTCTGACTGTGACCTCACTTTCACCGTGGGCCATGCCGTCAATGGTGACGTGCGCTGTCAGGGCTAACTCAACATCACTAGCTTCATCTCGTTTATAGCTCGCTACTTCCGAAGACCCTAATATCAAAGTAATATTACCTTTTTCAAAATGGTACATGTAGTTCTCCAAGCTCCGTTTGGATCTACGAATCGTAGCCACGCTATCTCTAATAGCTGCACCGGCGGCGCCTGTTACTAGAATGGCCGCAATGGCAGTAGTAGAGCACGGTCGTTTGTAAATTGGTCTGCCTGCAGCATATTGCGTAATGCAAGTACTAATAGCGTACTCCCAAGCCGTTATAGCTCCAGCTGAACAGGCTAATGACTTACCCAGCAAATCCCACCAGTAGCCTCGCTTCCGTAACTGGGTCTCCCCTTTAGTGGCCAGACTATGCCTGAAACTATGAATGTAATTCCCATTGTTATCAATACATGGTGCATAGTTATGTTGCCCACATTGAGGTATGTCATCTGTGTGTATGATTGTAGGCCCATTGACAAGTTTCATGAATGCTTTGTGCATGTCTTCTTCCGAAGGCTGTGTTATAGTACACAAACCAAAACTGAAAAAAAATATTAATACTAATCTGGCGTAGGGTCTCATAGGGTTAATATTTTTTTTCTTAGAGAAAATATTTTTATTCCTTGATTTCCTTACAACTTCGGGGAAAAGCTCATATTTATATAGTTCCTAATTGTCACAACACACCTTCCCTTTTGAGCAAATGTATCATAACATGCCATACGGTACTAAGTATCTAACCTAATCCAGAAACCACATGCTTGCAACGTCTCTCATGCACTACGTAGCAGCGGGATGACCCCCACATGAATGTAAATCAATAGAAAGTCCTCCCTTCACGAGGCAACGTCGAAACTCAGAGTTGTTTGAGAAAGGTCTCCAGAGATAATTTAACTCTCGCCTGTTCTGCCAAGGAGCCAGGAAAACCATCAGGAATTATATAAACCCCTTCGGCTTCCCTGTAACGAGAACAGACGGACCACACGCTTTATTCACAAGGGAACCTCCCACCAAGCTTCAAAGCCCTGGAACATCCTTCAACATAACAGCTCCCCCCCCCTCCGCTTAGCCCGTTCATAAGCTCCACTGTGTTACACCACACTTAGCCGAGATTACAAATAAGTCTGACACCCATCAATAGCACAAAGCAAGTGTTCCAATAACACCAGTTGTGAGTATAACCCGTCAGAGGCCAAACAAGAGCAGTCCACGTAAATGCTAACCTGATCCCACCTATAGTGTGCTAAGAAATCAGGCTAAGAGCAACCCTGAGTAGAAGCATAAGAATCCAGCTGCCAGGACGTCTCGCAACATCAGTCTTTTCGCTCACCCTTTCATCCCTTTCATTCTCACTTCATCATCACTCCTATTCTCTCCAATTTCACTGCGCCTAACTTTATTGTAAGTGCAGCTCCCAAAGTTGACTCAATCTGCCAATTGCTAACTCACGCGTACAGTGAAATAAACTTATTTTGTCACGGTCAATTTTCCGGGATATCGTGCAAACCCGCGAAGGGGAGCTGCGATGTGCGAGTTGACCAATGGTACGAGCAGAGAGAAAATACTTTTATTCCTTGATTTCCCTAAAACTTCGGGGGAAAGCTCATATTTATATAATTACTAAGCTACTCAGGTCTCCAATTTGACATACCCAAGGGGGAAGGGGGGAAGGGGGTGTTGAACGGAGCCGAGTAAATCTGACATTGTAAGGAAGTAGTGAAAAGTAAAAGTAATAACAAAGAAAAGTAATTGGTTTGAATATTTGTAATTTATGTGTTGTAGAAGTAAAATAGAAAAATTGTAAAAACAGTAAAATGTAGATACTTATATACTTGCTAACTTATTGCGCGCGCTGACACCGCTACTTTGCCAGTCTCATAGAGACAAATGTTTTTGAAATTTCGTGTCTTCTTTCTATGTCATTTTGTTTTGTATGTAACCATCTGATGTAAGGACAATAAACTGATTATCTATCTATCTAACGCTTGCTATGCGATAGTCAAGTTCTTGGATCTATTACCGCAACTACTTTGCTGATGGTTCGCTTGACTAAGCAGCTTGTTAAGGTTTTACTGAGTGTCAATCTCTAGTATTGATCTACTGAGTGTTATGTATCTCAGGTTTCCCTTAGCACATGGATACGTTCATGGAGAATTCGGCGCCATCGAATGTCTGAGCTTATAACGCGCGCTGATACCGCTACCTTGACAGTCTCATAAAGACAAATGTTTTTGAAATCCATGCCTTCTTTTCGTGTCTTTTTTTTTTTTTTTTTGTTTCCTAATTTCGTTGGCAACTATTTAACGTGAGGGCAATTATAAACTGATTATCCTATCCTAAAACAGATCAGAAATCGAATTCCGCTCCTGACGGAAAACGGAGAACTTAACAAAATGAAAATAAAAAATAAAAAGATTCTGTTTGTTGACTTGATAGGATAATGAATAATAGTAGTTGATATTTTTAGTTATTTTACATTTTCTTTATCATGCGCCAATCGGCCTTTAACAACTGAGGACTCATGTTAATACTTGAGATTTGTGATATATACATTAGCGTTGTTGTTCTTATTTTCACGTGACTGTTGTTGGTTATTATGCTGTTTAAAGAAAAGTAAAAGCCGCTCTGTTGTCAATAGTCGTGATCGTGAACAGCACGGTATTATCGCCGCTAATAAACAATTAAAATGAAATATATATATTAAATGCGGATATATGGTTTTAGAAAATACTTCTATTTAACTTAGCAATAAGAAATATTAACCGACCTGTCTGACGCAGGTTTGGAATATCAATGATTTTAAGTAT